GGATAGACTCACAGATTTCTGACTCAAAGCATCAGCTACCATATTGGCTTTGCCTGGGTGGTACTTCAACTCAAAGTCGTGGTCTTTTAGAAATTCCATCCATCTTCTTTGTCTCATGTTCAGCTCCTTCTGATCAAACATGTACTTCAAACTCTTATGATCACTGAACACCGTAAACTTCATACCGTACAAATAATGCCTCCAAATCTTAAAGGGAAAAACAATAGCAACCACCTCCAAATCATGAGTCGGGTAGTTCTTCTCATGAGGCTTTAACTGCCTCGAAGCAATAACTCTTACAGTCTGCATCAACACACAACCTAGCCCTTTCCTAGAGGCATCACAATATAGCTCAATCTGTTCAGCAAGATCAGGAAGGATCAACACTGGAGCAGTGGTCAATCTCTTCTTCAACTCCTAAAAATATTCCTTACACTCATAAGTCCCCACAAATGGAGTCTCTTTCCGGGTAAGGCGAGTCAGTGGTAAAACCATCTTTGAGAATCCCTCAATGAACCTCCAATAATAATTTGCCAAACCCAAGAAACTCCTTACTTTAGTAACAGTTTTGGGTCTCTCCCAATCCAACACTGCCTCAATCTTGTTCGGATCTACTGCAACTCCTTCTGCAGAAATCACATGCCAATAAATTTCATCGACTTGAGCCAAAACTCACACTTAGAAGGCTTTGCATAAAGCTTTTCTCTTTAAGCACCTGTAACACAATCCTCAAGTGCTCTGCATGCTCCTCCTCATTCTTGGAGTAAATCAAAATATCGTCAATGAAGACGATCAGAAAATGATCCAAGTATGGCTGAAAGATACGATTCATGTAATCCATGAACACTGCCGGTGCATTGGTGAGTCCAAACGGGATCACCAAATACTCATAATGACCGTATCTCGAACGAAACGCGGTCTTGCGAACGTCCTCCGGCTTAACCCGGATCTGATGGTATCTAAACTGAAGATCAATCTTGGAATACACGCAAGCACCCCTAAGTTGATCCAACAGATCATCAATACGAGGGAGGGGATACTTGTTCTTGATTCTCACCTTGTTCAGCTGTCTGTAATCGGAGCACAATCGCATTGTCCCATCTTTCTTCTTAACAAAGATGATCGATGCTCTCCATGGAGACACACTCGATCGAATGAAGTCTTTCGCGGAAAGATCCTCAATGTGCTTCTTCAATTCTGCTAACTCAGGTGGAGACATCTGGTATGGAGCTAATGAAATAGGCCCAACACCAGGCAATAGGTCAATGAAGAACTCTATCTCTCTCTGCGGTGGAAACTCAAGAATCTCCTCAGGAAACACCTCGAGGAATTCCCTCACCACAGGAATGCTAGTAATATCCTACTGTGTCCCACTCACCAAATCTCCCAACATGACATAACCAAATGCCCCTGCTCTCAAGGCTCTCCTAGCCTGCAGCACTGATATATAAGGAGAAGAACTGGTAGTGGAATCACAAGGAGACATCACCACTTTCTTTGCACAACAATCAATCATCACACAATTTCTGGACAACCAGTCCATGCCAAGGATGATCTCCAAATTAGCCATCGGTAATCCAATCAGATCTACCGAGTACTCACAGCCATCCCACTGAAACACAACATCACGGTGTACAGAGGAAGTATCACACTTTTCTCCAGTGGCGGTAGTAACCCGCAACGGTGGACAAAGCACATAAATGGGTAACTCAAGCCCCACAGCAATCGGGGTCGCGGTGAAAGAATGCGTAGCCCCGGAATCAAACAATATATCTATGACACGACTACCAATAGAAACAGTACCTCTCACAAGGTTCAAAGCTCGGTCCGACTGCTGTCGATCCAAGGTGTAAACTCGGCCTGTGATTGGTGGCACGACAGGTGCCGCTATAGGTGGAAGAGGAACCATTTGTAAAGGAATCTCCTAAATTGCTGCCGCCCTAGCAGTTGAGGAAGGACAATGTCTGGCATAGTGGCCCTCCATCCCACAATGGAAACAAATGATCTGACCGGTGGAACACGGCCCAACATGCCCAAATGGGGACTTTCCCACGCATTAAAACTAGTTTCTGGCCATTCTAACAGGTGCTAATCGATTACCAAACAATTGGTAATCGATTACTGCACATGGTAACCGATTACCAAAATAGAGTAATCAATTATTGCACATGGTAATCGATTACCAAGTGAAAGGTAATCGATTACCACACGGACAGAACAGAATTCTGCATAATCCGAGGTTGCAATGGATTCCAATGGTCCAAGGTTCGGTTTTTCTCAAAACAACAGTCCATTATTACTTATTAAACCTAGATTAACAACCCTTATCTTGAATGATTAAAGTTACCTCTTTTTATGACACAAACAAGCTAAATTAAAGAAATTTCAAAGGGAATGATCAAGGTATTGTTAGTACATAGGTGTCCTAGAGACAATCTGAGAGTCAGATGGATCTATGTACTTCTTTATTAGTTATAAATAAATTTTATGAATAAAAGCATTATTTATCTTGTTTCATATTGCATGTCTCAAATATTGAATATGAGTAACTGGATAAAGCCCTTGGAATGGAACGGGTGTCACATTGAGGATATGTGATAGAGATCACGATCATGAGGGCTCAATGACACCACACGTCCATTGCCAGAAATATGTTCCTGGTCTAGAGATACCAATAATAGGCATTGGATATCTCGGGTAAGACTAGCACATCTCAGTTATTTGCATGGAGATGCAAGGTAGAGTCCTCATGAGCTACAGACATGGAGATGTCTTAGCTGACTCGTGGGTGGACCTATTGGAGAATAGCTCGCACTGAACTGACCCACAAAGAGACACTACAAGGAAATCTCACAGATAGTATCAATAGGTAATGTCTCTTATTATTTGAGTGTGTCTTTCCTTAGACCTACTGTTGTCGTATAGACCTGTGCTCTGGAAGGCTTACTTTGATTGTATATCTTGTCTGCCTGAAACACGGAGACTTGTAGGTATACTCTTGGGCATGCCCTAAGGACTCAGGGCTAGTGTGACAAGCTAAAGGAATTCGTCAATCTCTGTGAGAGATTAGGTTATCCGTAGACCGGTGAAATCAGGATGACATTTACGGGACTCGGAAATCTATGCATAGTAAAGGAGTCATGAGATGGCCCGCTCTTTAGAGTCCGTAAATGAAGATTCGCTGTTTCGACAAAAGCTAACCCTAGACCGCAGGGGTTGATACGTTTTCCTTGACCTAGGTCAATGGATAACCGAGACGAAAGGACAATTCACACGGTAACCAAATAGGTATAACAGGTTGATCATTCGATGAACTCAACTAGCTCTGGGACAACAAAGCATTGCTAGTGCTCTGTGTTGTCATTAGATGGATTGGGCCTAATGGGCCCAAGCCCATTTATGTCAGCGGCTATATTGGGCCTGATGGGTCGCACACAAACACCTTAAGTTGTCTTGAATTCTAGCATATGTGTTTTGGGCCCAATAAGGCATAATGGGCCTAAGTTGGAAAAGCCCACATATTGGGCCAATAGAGAGTAGGTGGCATCATGGGTCAAGTTGGACTTGATCCATGATGTAACCAAATTAATTTAAATATTAAATTAATAAAATTAATTTGAATTCTAATTTCGAATTGGAAATTTGAATTTAAATAAAATTAATTTAAATTCTAAATTTGAATTTCGAATTTAAAATTGGAATTTAAATATAGTCATTAAATTAGATTTATTGAAGATGGAGTAAATAAAGGAAACAAATCAATTAGATTGATTAGAAACAAATCAATTGGATTGATTAACCAAATATGTCTGGTAGTCCTGCTCCCTCCGCTGCATATACCTGAGTCGCCGCCTGAGAAATCCCATCGGTGTCTCGAGATCGTCTAGTCGACTCTCAGTAGTCGGGACTGGTGGTCTCTCAGCTGGACCAGATGGTCCTGGTGTACGTCTCGGCCTGCCGCGAGTCTCCTGTGGCGGTGCAGTGTCCTCCTCTCCCTCAACAGCTGATCCTCCTATATAGGTAGAAATATATTTTGCGTCTATAATGGGACGCAAGGGGATGGTGTCTCCTTTAGTGGGGATCTCCACCCCTGCTGTTGAACATAGGCTCTGGATCAGAGAGGCATGACCAATTGCGGCTGTCTTAGATTTGTTTTGGGCCATTTCATAGATGCTGTCAGCTAGTATTCGGGGCAAGTCAATCCTCATTCCTTCCATAATGGTGTGGATCAGTACGACTTTTTTTACCACTATTTCAGTCTGATTTAGGCTTGGCATGATGTTGTTGTTGATGAAGTGGTGCCACACTTTGGCCACATTGTTCAGCTGCTTCAACTAGATCCTCTTTGGGTGGCTGTGATCTTTGGTTGGGTCCCACTGTTCTCCAGGAAGTGTTATACTGCGGAGAACAAGTTCAGCTACTCCAAAGGGATCATTTTGTTCATATTCAATAGTTGCAAGTTTTGTTTGAAACCTGCAAGTCCGCTGGGTGGTTCTGTCATGTTTAGCAGTCTGAAAAATTTCTTGAATTGCCGCAGCATTGTAGGGTATCTCCTTCCCTCTCACATAACTAACATGTGCTCTATTCGTCACTTGCTCAACTGAGTAAGCTTTGGCATAGAACTCTCTGGCCAGCTCTTCGATTGCTTTTACTGGCAGCTCAGATGGATGTGAAATCGGCGTTCTTAAACGGTGTACTTGAGGAGGAGGTATATCTTAAACAACCTCCGGGTTTCATGAAAGTCGGACAAGAAAGAAAAGTGTTAAGGCTGAAGAAGGCTTTGTAAGGGCTGAAGCAGGCATCGCGGGCTTGGAATACCCGTATTGACTCTTATTTCAAGAAGGACAGATTTGAGCAATGTCCATATGAACATGCCCTGTATGTGAAGAAGAAAGAAGGTAATATTTTACTGGTTGCTTTATATGTTAATGATCTAATCCTCTTGGGAAATGATGAAGGGATGATACAAGACTTCAAGAAGAATGACAAAAGAGTTCGAGATGACGGATCTCGGTCTGATGAGATACTTCCTTGGTCTGGAAGTCAGACAAGAGAAATTCGGGATCTTTGTATCTCAAGAAGCTTATGCAAAAGATATCCTAAAGAGGTTCAAAATGATAGATTGCAATCCGGTTTCAACTCCTATGGAACCCGGCTTAAAAATTTCGAAGTATGATGGAGGAGAAAGAGTTGATCCGAGTAATTACCGTAGTCTAGTAGGATGTTTGAGGTATTTAAATTGCACGAGGCCAGACTTGTGTCTAAGTGTTGGGATTATAAGCCGGTTCATGGAAGATCTGGGCTACACACATTGGAAGGCAGCGAAGAGGATATTGAGATATGTTCAAGGAAAAATCTCGCAAGGACTTCATTATTCGAAGTCAGACAAGTACAAGCTGGTGGGATATTCAGATAGCGACTGGTGTGGAGATGTTGATGATAGGAAGAGCACGGCTGGCTATGTGTTTTTCATGGGAAACACGACATTCATGTGGATGTCAAAGAAGGAACTCATTGTAACTTTATCTACATGCGAAGCCGAGTACGCTGATGCATCCTGGTGCGTTTGTCACGCCATGTGGCTGAGGAATCTATTGAGTAAATTGGAGTAAGAACAAGTCGACCCAGCCGAGATCCGGGTTCACAACAAGTCTACAATCGAGTTAGCAAAGAACCCGGTCAACCATGAGAGGAGTAAGCATATAGATGTCAGGTTTCATTTCATCTGGGATCAAGTCAAGGAAGGAAAGGTGGAGCTCACTCATGTTGCAAGCCGAGATCAAGTGGGTGACATATTTACGAAGTCGTTACCAACGTTGCTGTTAGAAAATTTCAAGAAGAAGATTGGGATGAAGGATGGTCGAAGAATTTAAAGCTTATGGGGGAGTTTTGTTGGGATAAGTTTTAAATTAAATAAAAGAAAAAAAGAAAATGAAATGTTTATGGTGAAGAGGTGTGTTCCTAGGTATCTGTTAGTGGACAATTAATATGTTTAGATTTCCTATGTTAGTCATTATCACTCTTAATCATTTGCTATTGCTTATAAATAGTACACAGTAACTCTTGTAAATAAGCTTGGCAGAATCAGTAATAGAATAGAGGTATATTCAGAGAATTTCTTGTGTATTTGTGTGTGTGAGCACCAGTTATAAAACCTTGGATCCAAACCTCACTTCATTTGTCTCTCCTGTTTGGTCGTTGTAGTTTGCATGTGCGCCTGTGGAAAGTATTGTAGATATAAGGCCAAGACATCCACCATTCGATGCGCACACTAAAAGGTAATGATGTTGATCAATTCAAAGCAGAGCATACAGAATAATACCATACGAAATACCAAATAGCATAAACAAGTTATTACTTGTGTGTAGGCATGATGGTATGAGAGACACAACAAGCAAGTAAAATATCAATGAAGGAAATTCTAATTTGATTCATGTGAAACAATAATAAGACCTTACAAGCATCCATACCAATTGATATGCAGAAGAAAACTTAGCAAGCACAATACAAGAAAGAAAAACAGGTTCTTATCACAACAAAGTACAAAACATGAATCGCAGCAACACTCATATCAGTGCTTTGCAATTAGGATAGCAAGAGTTTCTTTTTTCTTTTTTTCTCTTTGAACGGAGCTAAGGGATAGGGGAGAATATGGTCTAGAGAATAATACAATTCATGAGAAAAACACAAACAAAAAGGCACAAGCTCTAGCTAACCACTATGGTTCCAAAATCAACCAAGGCCAAATTTTTTGTTATTGATCTTGCAGAAGAGAAAAGATCATTCAGATCAGCAAAGCAAATATATGAGCAGAAGCAACACAGATCTATGGACCATGTATTTACCTCTAAGTTAAAGAATTGATGCAAAAGAGTTTCAACACTAGTATTCTTTGTAGAAGCCGATATTAGGTTAGAGTAAAATTGTTCAACTAGAAGATAATCAAACAAAAATTAAAAATAAAAATCAGCAACTAGTTCCTCCATATATTTCAAGTTTCGTATGCACTAAATTTGAACAAAAGGCCTTCTTTACTAAAACCCGAGTTATAATTTACCCCCAAAACTAATTCAGCGACTAATTTTAACAAATTAATAACTCAGCAACTGATTAAAACCTTAAATTGAGATCTCTAGTTCTCTACATAATCATCGAGCACTGAACTAAAAACCCACTCTAAAAACTCAATAAAACGCAGCAGCCACCAAAAAAATATTAAAAAATATACAAAATAATTAAAAATAAAATAAAATTAGGAAATAATGCCGATTGCTTCAGCCTCTTGGTCAACATTTTGGCAGTGGTCGGTGGTGAAGCGATGATAATCTCCGGCACCGACGAAGGGCGGTTTCATGGACGAGCACTGAACCAAAGGAATTACAAAACATATATTTATTAATTTTTAAAGTACAAAGCAAGGCTGAAATCGGCCCCTTAAGAAGATGTAAATGCGCAAATGCTAGAAGACACGCTGCAAACATTGACACAGAATTTCACATCCTAGGATCACAAGTATTCTAACTAAGTCTCGTCCTCTGACTCAGGTTGTTCAGATGGAGATGTTTCATCATGAGGAGCACGCAACATAGCGGGCTGCGGGCGGTGCTGACGGAAATAACCGCTCTATGATGATTTCAATCAACCTCCACATTACTAGAATCAAGAACAGGAGTAGGATAATGATTAGAAGAATTGCCCACCACCATTTTGGCACCTCGTCATCCCGAGGAGGAGATGGAAGTGTTGGCAATGGTATTGTGAGCTAAAAAAAAGGAGAAGAGGAGCAAAGAGTTGAGGGAAAGCACACGCATGCTTGAAGTGGAAGTGAAGGCGGTAGAAACAAATTGTTGATGTTATGGGCAAGGAGGGGAAGTGTTAAAGAAAATACTCGTACCATTTTGGGGTTGTACTCCAATAATGCAGCTTGGTATGCTTATCTATGATCTCTCCAACCTAAGGTTCATTTTTGCCATCTTCCATAGCTTGATGAAACTCAACCCACAGTCAAATAGAGGTCATGAACCTACTTAATATAGCCAAGTTTCCCAGGAGAGCTGGTACAAGTGCACTAATTGAGATATCTATACATAACAATAGTTATAAATATAGGTAAAAAAAAATTGTTTTCGATTTATGAACTTGTAACCACATACTTAATTTATTCATGCATCACATGCATGTGATGCTGATTAAATTGCAATGATGAAGGATGAGCACGCATCATATTTATTATTCATAAATTTAATCATGTTTTAATGCTTCTTAAAAAGTTGCAATATAAAGATAAACTTGATATTTCAACTGTGTGTTTATCTCATTCATTGGTAGCCTTTAAATAGGCGAACATACAATAAATGGTAACAACGTAACAAACTAAAACAAATAAATACTCTATCTAAACAGTCCTACGGTTACAAAGAATTCAAACAATATACGTTACAAAGAATTCAAACCTACGGTTACAAAGAATTGAATTCAAACAATATACGTTACCAAGAATTCAAACAATATACGTTACATATAATCTCTAACACTCCCCCTCAAGTTGGAGTATGTAAGGATGAAATGCCCAACTTGGGAAGAAAACTAAGAAGCTCGCGTTGTCCCAAGGCTTTAGTAAACAAATCAGCAAGTTGGGAACGGGAAGGCACATGAGCTGTTGTAATATGCTTGGCTAGAATATGTTCACGTACAAAGTGGCAATCTAACTCAATATGCTTGGTACGCTCGTGAAACACAGGATTCGCTGCAATGTGTAAAGCAGCTTGGTTATCACAAAACAATTCCATAGGACTTGAGTGAGTGACCCCAAGAAAGGTCAGAAACGACTTGAGCCACACAATCTCTGCTATAGCTGCAGCCATTGATCTATACCCTGCTTCTGCAGAAGAGCGAGACACCGTTACTTGTTTCTTGGTCTTCCAGGATACGGGTGAAGAACCCAACATAATAAAGAAACCAGTGAGAGATCGTCTGGTAAGAGGACATGAAGCCCAATCCGAATCACAATAGGCATGAATTTTTAGGTCACAATCCGATTTGAGGAGAAGTCCTTAACCAGGATCTCTCTTTACATATCGAATAACCCGGAGAACAGCCTCATAATGAGCTAAGCGCGGTGAATGCATGAATGAGAAAGGATATGAACAACATAGCTCAGGTCGGGTCTTGTGATAGTGAGGTAAATCAACTTACCAATGAGTCTTCTATACCGTTCAGGGTTCTCATATACTGGTCCGTCATCCAAGGCAAGACGATGATTTTGTTCTATGGGGGAAATCGCCGGTTTACATCCACTGAGCCCGGAATCAGAAAGAATATCCAGGGCATACTTACGCTGACATAAAAATATTCCTTTCTTGCTGCGGGCAATTTCAATACCCAAAAAATATTTCAGACTACCCAGGTCTTTTATTTTAAAACACTGATTCAGATACTCTTTGACTGCAAGACAAGCATGTGAATTATTACCTGCTAAGATGATGTCGTCGACATAAACTAAAAGTGCAAGAGACACCTCCCCTTTTTGCATAGTAAAGAGAGTGTAATCAGCTTTTGACTGAACAAATCCATATGCCGTCAACGAACTGCTGAGTTTGGAAAACCAGTTTCGGGGTGATTGGCGCAAACCATACAATGACTTTGTAAGACGACATACTCTATGCTTAGACCTAGTACTGAATCCAGGGGGGAATCTCATGTAAACTTCCTCACTTATTTCTCCATTCAAGAATGAGTTATGAACATCAAGCTGGTGCAACTCCCAGTTTCTTTCTGCAGCCACTGCAAGCAATGTACGTACACTCACCATCTTTGTCACTGGTGCATAAGTCTCACTGTAATCTTCTTCGGCAATCTGATAATTACCTGCAATCACCAATCTTGCCTTATACTGTTCCACCGTTCCATCAGAACGGTATTTTATTTTAAACACCCACTTGCTTGGAAGAGCACGCTTCCCTGGAGGTAAATCCGTGAGGCACCATGTATGGTTGTCTTCTAAGGCTGTGATTTCAGCCCTCATGGCTTCCACCCATCGGGAGTCTCTCATAGCATCTTGAAATGTACGTGGTTCATGACCTGTGTCAATAGCTGCAACAAAATCTTGATGTTGCTTAGAAAAGTTAGTGAGGCTAAGATAATTGCACATAGGATACCGAGTACCTGAGGTGACATTGGTTTGAGTAGGGAGAGATGAAGGAGTGTGTGTTTTAGCTACTTGACATGCATAGTCCTGCAAATAAGATGGCTGCTTCCTGGTACGGTGCTGGCGTGTGACTGTTTGACGGAGATTTGCTTCCAGCAACTGTTGTTGGGTTGATGCATCACTAGAACTCGAACTTCTTTCTAGTAAGGAGGACTCTCTAGCGGCAACTTCGTTAGTTGGTGTTGCTTCCAGCGAAACACTCCCCCTATCGTCCAGAGGAACACATGATCCACTAGGCGTTGGGCTGTCATTTGATGCATCAGAACCGTCATGGAAAATTTGGCCTTCGTCAAAGTAATTTGGCTCTGTAGGCACACGAGAATTTGGTGCAGAAACAGATTGTACTGGAGCTTCGCGAAAAGGAAAAATATTTTCAAAAAATTTTACATCCCTAGACACAAAGCT